TGCTTTCTGATTTATATTTTTTTTTATAAATTTCGGACTTTCAATGCGGACTTCAAACAATACGCTGCAATAAATTGTTACCGACAGAAACAAAGAAGTTCTATTCCCGTAAAATTTTGACGGGCCATATTACTTATTATACAGACAAATCACAAAATTTCAAATTACCTAATATTGTCCTTTGTTAATTTATTTCATCTAAGTTCTGCGTTTTTCCAGTTTTGAAACAAACGCCAACTATCCTATCATTACATCTTACAAGATATGTTAACTGTACGTTACATTACGACACTCCAATAATTTTAAAGAATACGTTCAACTGTTAGAAATGTGAGAGACAGTTTTAAAATATTACAACAAATTGTGTGTGTTTTAAAGGCGTTATCAACCCCAGATGGCACTACAGAAAGTTTCCTGAGGACAAGACAAGACAATACGTGATCAAAGCTGTGACTATGCATCGTGGTTCTCTGTAGCAGTAGATTGAGGCTCTGGGGGCAGATTTCAAACCAGTTACAAAATGTACCATTCCTATGACTCAGAGTATCTAGAGATGCTGATAGTCGGTCAGCTAGTCCAGAAATTCAATTTTTTTATGAAGCCTAGGGGTTTGTTTCACGGTACAAAAAGTTCCCACCACTGGACCCCTTCCAATTATCAGATGAATCCAACTATACTTAGGTCTACAAATTTTCTCTTTTTTCAAGGTTGTTTGCTTTGCCATGCTAATCTCATTATCTTTGTTTCAACAACTCTTATATTTCTATAACAAGCTTTTATCTGTGTAACTTCCAACATCCTCTTGTTAATTAATCTCTCTTAGGAACAAATACTGTCCACCGGCCACGAGAAAATCCCTGTGGTGGGTAGGCGATTGTAGTGCGGTGCAGGGGGAATGTTTACTATCAGGTGGACTAGAGGGCTGAAATTGATGGGAAGTGTGACACGCCACAGAGTTACGCTACTTCATAAAACTTATAACAAAAAAAAGTTAATGATATTTTTGAGACAATAAAATATGTTTCAATTATGCTTAAAGCATTAATTATAAGACATGGTACAAGTAGTTATATAGAACGAATTAAAAGAAAAAAATAAATTGTCCTTAATTATCTGAAAGTCTCCAACTTTTCATCAGTACGTTTAAATTTGCTAAATCACATTAAAACAACACGAGTTTGGACAATACATAACGTACATTCAAGATGACAGGGTTACAGAAGTAGCGACTAAGAAAGAGACTGGGTTCCATGCGGCGGTGGAAATTTCCTAGCTGGCTGCGAGTACTGTCACCTCCTTAACAAACAGCACAATCCCCTCCATGCAGTTACTTATCCAATAATCTGTAAGATTTGAGGTTTTCACGACGGTGAGTACGAAGAGTTCTGTCTCCTGGGTTGTTGCGCTGTGTAGTCTGGTAAAGTTTACCGACGTTTCAGAGGTCCTTGCTGCCTCCAGGGCGACAATTATGGAGGAAGCAAGCACATCTAAAACATCGGTAAACTTTACCAGACTACACGGCGCAACAACCCAGAAGACAGACATCTTCAGACGTCTTTATGTTGAGAAAATTTTTTAAAATGCTTTATAATAAAAATAAGAACATTATACACGTAATAGAAGTTACGGAAACAGAAAAAATTAGTAACCATGTGTTGGTGTTTGTTCCTTCGGGACTTAAAGCTATGGTTCTTGCCTACTGTAACTTAATGATTAGTACAGCTGCTGTTAGGAAGATCAGCGAAGTTTTGCGGGATTGTTTAATGTTTGGAATGGTTTTGACTACGGCCTGACAAAACGGAATGCTGCTATGACATAATGTTGTGATTACTACAAGTAACACCACAGACCTCTCATGTCTCACACAGCCACAATTAAACAGATCGATTAATATTCGTTGCTTTCCGTGTGCTTCAACCCATATCGAGTTTCTCTACAAGTTTATATTTGAATTTTATAAAACTTTAATTTACTAGCTGGTAAAAATACCACAGTTGAAGAAAAATCAGATGGCGAAAATCTAACACAAAAGGAGACTGACATTAGTTTAGTGATAAACTAAAATAACGTGGTTGGTGAGATTGTTTTACAGAAATCTGACAAAATAAAGTCATTAGAGAATGATGTGTCTTCCAACAGTATGTACGAATGTTTATTCCCAGGACATATTCAACCGATATTGATTAAATATGTTGTCATGTTCTACACAAATATCTCGTATTTTTAATTTCATCCCATTACACAAGATTTTAATTTTTTCTCAAAAACACCTTACTATACAACAACTTATACTTACTAGCCTATTCCGTATATCCATTAGAAAAAACTTGTTTCTCTGTATAAAATTACTATTTAAATTACGAATTATCGTTATGATTACAAATTTTTCCTCTTAGTCTTATGTAATACGGTGTGTCAAATGTATTATCATACCTCCATGTTCAACATGACAGAAAACTAATTTTATTGATAGTTTATTTAACGACGCTTTTCATTAGCTGAGACTACTGTTCTGAATGTGAAGATAAACAAAACGTAACGAATTAAATATGACGATGCACGAAGCAACTGTAGTCTAATTTAGGGTACTATCGCGAAAGTTACGTAGAGGGACCGAAGAAAACCATGCGTAAACTCAGTAAAAATACCCGCTGTCCTGACTGAGATTTAAACTCGGGATCTCCCAAATACGATGTAGGAATTGTAATCACTCGACTCGGCGAAAAGAGATTTTAAAAATGGACGAAAACATTATGAACAGTGAAACTACATCGTTTCACGAATAATTAAATTAGATAAACGATCCCTGAGTGTGAAATACAACCGACGCTTTGAAAAAAAATTTGTCATTTCTTAGACTTCTGGCGCCCTGAATTTAATAATGAGACACTTTACAAGTGATCCTGCTTCCATAACTGGGCACCAACTTTGTTTCCAAGCTCCTGAATATTCAAATGCGTCTCTATGACGTCACTAAGTCTCTAAACTCCAGGCTTACGATTTATAAACAGTTGCTCATAGTTTTTCATATAAATATACATAAACATTACGACGCGTACCGGCGAAAAAAATAGATATGAATCAGATGCTTTAAACATATCAAAACATTAATCATAATCATGGAGTATAATTCTTCTTGAGAAGTCAATAAACCTTTAGACAGTCAACACATCTCTAAACTTCCAAATGTTCATATCTCCTTCATAAAAACCCGCAATTGGTCCCTATCTTGAGACAGGTAAATCCAGTATACGCCCCAAAACCTGAATTTTTAATAACATATTTTAATATTACACTCGTGTATATCAAAGCGGCCTCTCGTATCCAAGTTCCCGACCAAAAACGTATAATGTTACATCTATAATGAGAGATATTTCCTTGGAAAATAGTCATATCATGCTTATTAAAGGGGAGAAAACCACTCGGGTACAAATTTGACCCAATGTATAAGTCAGATACATATTTATAACAACGCAATATAAAAAAAGGACGCAATTAATTTCGTGTTTAAATTTTAATACATTTACCAACGATTTTTCAAGTTTATTATACCTACTATTCTGGGCTCTACTGTCTCATGACTGATATTTTTAATATATCAGTACTGTGTTTTAATAATAAAGCATTCCCTTTAATATGGCGGTGGCTCTTTTGAGCTGAGCAAAGCAATTCCATCATTGCAGGGGTTTCGGTAGGTTTCATGTGCGTCTTCTCCGCTGTCACTCTGACTGGTTGGGGCGTTTGAAGGAATTACGATACACTTTAAGCCAATAGCAGCTTATAATAATAACTGAGGATTCACCAGAATGATTTCCTTGCGTGGGAACATAATACAATGTTAAGAGGTGCTTTAGATAGAGCTTCTAGAACACGCCAAGTTGATACAACACACATTTATTAGCATCACAGTCAAGGAGCTAGATATTCCTTTACTTCGTGTCGAGGAAATTGCTTAGATTTTCACTAGAGCCTTAGGGAAGAATATGGAGTTGCCTTAGAAAGATTATAATTTATCTGCTAACATTTAACATTAGCGCTACTATAAGCAAACGGTGTCTCTGTGAGTGATGTCGATGTGAAATTTCTCGCCTCAAAGAGTATCTGTAGATGAAGACGGTAAACAAACACTTTGTTGTCAATCTGCAACCAAGCGTCAAACGTCTTACTCACGGTGACTTGATATGTTTAATATTCAGAAATGAATAACAATTAGTAAAATGAGCAACACGAAAGTGAAATCTAAATAATTAGATCATTTAAAGCTTGCAAGACAAGTGTGAATGAATTGTTAGACAGATATGTTTCATGGAGATATGAATTATGCAAGAATTATACTCTTGGAGTTCAGGATAACACGAATGAAAAATCATTCCTTGGTTAAGTAACTAAAAACAATACCTATGGAATTTTTAATTCTTCCTTCAGCGTGCTTCAAAATTATATTTTACGGTTTCTGGATCCATTTAGTGACCTACTAAGGCAGGCAGAAAACGTGAACTATATAATGGAATAGTTTCTATTCTAAACACCTGACATACATTAATGTGATTTCAAAATAACCGTGTACCTAACTCAGAATAATTTCCTTAGAAATGTTAAATTTTCACAGCATAATACCACTAACTTAACTTACTTTCACATATACCAACTGCAAAATTTAACTTAAGAAACACGGAACTTTGTATAAAGTTCACTCAATATTATTCAGTGTCTTATTATATTTTCCAAACATCACGACGAATAAATTCTCTCTCTTATCCCACTTCAAATCAAGGTCTGGAAATTGGATCTCCTGAGATTTATCGTGGTTTTCCTTAGTCATTCTCATAGTCCAGAATAGTAACTGAAACAAGGCCACGATCGCTTCCTACGTTATCCTTTACAATTAATTATTACGTATTTTACAGAAGAATATTAGTCAATTGGGCTGAAAACAATGCATTATGCTGCAACAGCCATGAACATGTAAAGAAATTGATGACGTAGAAAATTCTCCTTACCTGGCTTTTCATTGGATCAGTGTTGATTTGGCACATGTACATCCCTCTGTCTTCCTCATGGACATTTTTGACGTGGAGGTTCCACATGGTGTGATCAACGTGTGACACGGAAACACGTGGATTATGGATAACCACGTGGTCGTTTATAGCCTGGATTGCTTTTGTATCTGCTTTTACCCAGCCAATCTAAAGAAATTAATAAAGAAATTGAGACAAAATTCTGAAGAAAGAACCGCATTAGCACACCAAAATCCAGTAGTACACTTATCTCATATAGCTAACCAACGAAAAGTGTCGTTCAATATTATTCATAAAGTAAACATTAAAGAGTCCTTCTTCAGAAGCTTATAGTCATTCAGATGGTCAATAAATGTTTTGCTTTTATGTAATGGAAGATTCATCTGAAACTACCACTGGACGCTATCGTAAACGAGATGAATGCAGTAAAAGTCTTCACACATTATTTCTTTAAGAAACACTTTCTGTCTTCTGGGTTATTGCGCCGTGTAATCTGGTAATGTCCACCAACGTTTCAGAGGTCATACTGCCTCCGTCATCAGACTCACCGCCGTGAAAAACTCAAATCCTACAACCATTTTAATATTATAATTACACTTACGCCTAGGGATTCTTAGTGCATATTACCTTCACATTATTTATTGTATTATTAGACGTCATAATTTTCGATTCCACGGTACGTATTGTTCCTTGTGCATTTAACAGTAATTCAACAAATCAATAATGTTATTATATTTTGAAATATTCATATTAAAGCCTATACTAAATTCTAATTTACTATAGGCTTCGTTTTAAAGAATTTTAATTAGGCTAAACGTTTTGTGCGTATACGCGTGTTATTTATCCGTTCTAGTTAATAAATTATTTCTATGACTGCAACCAGTAAGTGAAGTGGGTACTTTGGCCCGTGTACAGTATTTCCGTTACTACCACGCAGCAAAGACTACCAATTTACATGGGACATACATTGTGTATTCCTGTCACATCCGCACGGATCCAAAGTGCAAATAAAACCACGAAATGCAAGCAGAGACGACGTTATATCTTTCACATTCCGAGCACGAGCTAGAGGGAAGGTTTCGAGTGTTATATGTGGCGTCGGATTACCTGAAGCAAAGCATCGCGACGCTAGACAAAGTGTTTACAAGTCACAATCAGATTCGTCACACACACAGGAGCACGTTAAACAAACTGAAAGAGATATGTAGGAATAAGAATAAGAGTGAAACAAAAATGAGAAAGAAATGAAAAAAAGAATATTGAATTTCTCTTTCCGTTTCTAGTTACTTCTTTGTTCTTTCGCTGAGGAACGTGCTTCAAAATTTGATTCGTTCGAGTAAGGAAGAGTGTGAGACAGAATGGGTCTGTGGAAACAGGTGAAGTGTGTTGATGCGATAACACCATCTCCGCCTCTCATCGAACCAGAAACACACGTCGTAGTTTTGGGCAAAAGGCTAGTTGCCCTGAAGCCGTGTTTATCGGTCTGTTCTGGTCTGGTAGTATGAGAAATCGACCGATGATAACAGAGAAAGGGGATCTTTGATGTTTTCCACTTTCCTGCAGATAGGCGGGAGGGAAAATTGACATACATAAACGATACGAAATGAAATTCTTTGTAACATGATGTAACGTTTCTGTAGGCTTTGCACGCGGTATAAAAGCACGTGGGCATGCACAAGGCATCTAGCATTCGTAACATGGCCACTGCTACAGAAATTTTCCTTTTTTAGTGTTATATTTGGAGAGGCAAGAGGTAAAACAGAATATTTGTACGCTTATAACAAATACTCGCATTGTACTAAATACAGCTGCCTTCATATTTTAAAAGTAAAATTTTTTGTATTGATAAAAATAAATTCCGATTTAGAGCCTCATTTATCTGTAACAGGTAACAGTCGCTCAGACAGTCAATTCTCTGAATTTTATGGAACCTGAGTGTTCATTGGGTGTCGTGGTGACAAAACGCCACCATCGGATCATATCCCGAGTGAAATAAATTCAACCCATTCTACTTCCGTCAGATCCATTTTAATAATATCATCCCACATACTTCTAAGTCTTCGGAGTTCCGTATTCACTTCAAGCATTCAAACTAATATTTTATACGGATTTCTAATCTTCCCCATGCATGCTACATGTCCAACTCATCCTATCATCTTTGAATTAATCATTCTCTTTAATCTATCCTGGTTCTAATTATATGTAATCAGTATGTATTAGACTAAATATTAAAATAAATTAGCTATTTACAGAAGTGTAGAACATTGCTTATCAACTGAAAGAACGTTCTGAATCATTTTTCTACTCCGTTATTAAAATACGCAATTTCAGCTTCAAATGATGTTTACGTAAAACTTATATTGTGGGATAAAAATGGTTATCATAAAGTGTTTAAAGATGGGGGAACAGGTTTGTTTTCCTGATAATACCATCCACCAACGGTTTTCGGAAAATAAATGATAGCTTCAAAACGAGATACCACGTTCGTAACACGCACCTTGCTAAACATAACATAATCCTGTAAACATCTTTTCATTCGCTAGACTTGTACAGGTTTCTTCGTAACGGTATTGAGGTCTTCAAAGACTATAGTTAAATATCGTAACGAAGTGACTTTTATGAAGTTGAATTTTGAAATTATTAGTTAGTAGACTGGTGGGCTCAAGAACTTGACTTTTCCTCTAGAACAGAATCACCAGGCAGGCTGACGGAGTACAGCCATGTTTTATAAATGATCCCTAGTTTACCGGCCCCTACTCTGCTGTTTGTCATATCTTTACAGTTATTATATCTGAGACCCACACAGGGCAAAGTAAAGGGGACAAGACAGCGGAAAATACATACAAAGTACATGAAACCTTTTCAGAAGGAAATGGAAAATAAAATATTTAAGATATAATTCATCTCAAATAATGGCTAATAATATTATTATAAACTTCACTACATGAATCGCAGTCCTCCAAAAGGTCATTAACGTGTTCTCGGAACCATCCTGAGTCAGAAAAACCCAATCCAAAACTCCAAGTAATATTTTCTTAAAATCAGTTCTAATATTATCTTTCCAGATTTTCTAGGTCTTCCGAGTGGTCCCTTTCCATTCAAACTTTGAAAGAAAAATTGTCTTCGGATTCCTTATTGCACCATGCATGCTACGCGTCCCGTCAATCTCATCCTTCTTCATTCAACTAACAATATCTTGTGATAAGTATTATTATAAACTTGTGCATTTAAAATCATTACTACACATAATGTAGACATAAATATCATTATTCTATACTTTGATTTTACTTTCAGCTGTTAAATTATCTATGTGATTTACGTTACAGTCCTTGGAACAAAATAAACTGACATTTAATAACGCACATTTACATCTTTGAATTACAGATAAATAACACCAGAATTACAAATATAAACACACTTAAATTTTGATGATTTTACAGAGGTCTCAGATGTACATGATGAGGTTGAAAAGAACGTGTTTTCAGGAATAAGATATTCTATGTTAAAATATATTACCCACGAGATGAAGATAAGAGTTTAATTTAAAAATCGAACGGGTTTTGACGGAGAAAATATACGTAGCTTCAATTTATATATACGTAGGTGCTTTGATAACTGGATGAATGACTGTACAGACAGATCACTGAATGCATAGTTGAACAGACGAACACAGAGAGAGAGAGAGAGAGATGAAAATATAAAACTAACAGACAGACAGATAGATGGATTAATGGACGGATGTATGATGGGATTATGCTTATTACTAAAAGATACTCAGCACAACCTAATTAACTCTATTTTAATACAGTCCAGGGGTTCAGTACCGCTTATACCAAAGTCAGCCACTGGACGCGATCCTGAGCTACTTCTATCAGCTCCATTATTACAGAATCTGCTTTTAATTTTATTCTTCCATGTCCTCAGTTTAAATTACACCGCGCTTTCTAAGAGGATTCCTCACTAAAATTCTACATGTATTTTGTGACTTCCTCAGTTCGTGCAACACATCTACCAAATCCCTACCACAGGCCTACTGATTTCATTACTATCATATAATAAAGCGTTGTTTATAAATAACAAATAATATAAATAACATCATGAAGCAGAGTTCTTGTTGATAAGCTAACAGTACGCTCAGATAATGAAGAAATTGCTTAAATTTTATGGAAATGATGTTTATTATTGTATTAACAATATCCTACCACAGTTCTCTGCCCAGAGCCAAATACATCCAATCCAACTCACTAACACGTTTTTCTTAACATCTACTTTAATATTATGTTCCCACCTACGACAAGGTCTTCAAAATGAACACAAACCAACATCAAATATCACTTTTTGTAACAATTTAAATCTCAATGGGAGCTGTATTTACCCACCTGCTTTAACAATCAGTAACTGTTGATTTTATATCTATAGGCCTTGCGTGATTCTCGGTGTAAACAGCGAATATTTATTTAAACAAGATTAAATAGTTGATCTTTGTAACAGTAAAGTTTTGTGTTTTCTTAGTGGTACGGGCTGAATATTTAAATACCATTAGGACGAGCTTCGCAATTAAAGGTTAAGTGTTCATGATCGCACTGCGGTATTTTATGTAATACCCCATTAACTGACTTAGTATTATGAAATTACTTAATAATTAAGTAAGCAGATCCTCCTTAACCCTTGTCCTTTCTTGTACCTTACTTATAAGAAACAAGTCTAAGATCTAAAACGACGTCAAATATTACTCCTGAGATCAAATCAACAGGTAGGCAGAAGTCAAAGTCCGAAACTTAGTCACACAGTGAAGTCCCTTTATTATACGTCCCTAGTAATTAAAGCTTCCCTCTATAATTAAGTAGTAGAAGAATAGCAGAAAAAATTCAATTATCTCGAACTGGAGCCTGGAAACGTACACAGCAATCAAAATCACGTCTCCTGATAGATTTCTGTTGGAGGGAAATCCTATGGCTTCATAGGGTGTATTTAATTTGTGACTGAATTAATTTCAACAGCGAGAGTCGTGTTTTATGACTTCTGAATCCTGTTCTACCGACGCTGGTACATATTCCTTTAGCAAGAAACCCTTTTGCGTAGATTAGTTTCGAACATTACAGTATGAAGTATGAATTACATTGGTCATTATACGTATGCAGTTAATCTTATACATAAAACTTTAAATGTGGTTATGTGTTTGTGTATGGCTTTAAGTATATTCATTTATAGCTTTGAAACGATAAACCAATTTACAAAAGATTAGCATAATAATGTCCTGAAACAAGGAGAACATTTTGGAAAGATAAAAATTAAATAATCAAAATGTTCTGGATTCGTGTCCGGTGAGGATGGCTAACGTAGTTCAGAAAATAAGCAAGACAGAAGAATGTCGCAAAGAACAAAGTTGTTTTGATTCTGCTAGGGCATTGCAGGAGAAAAGGCCACGTCCCCGAAAAAAGTGCTCTGGATTCGAGTTCTGGTAAATATAATTTAACTCTGTGCAGAGAACTAATTGCGGTAAACTATTTTTTGAATACAAATTAAACAAAAATTTAAAAAAACAGTTATCGTAAAATTATTCGTTTCCGGGAAAAGACTACTCCCATGTCTATGCAATGCGATTATACAAGGTTAAACATACATAAGATTCTGAATAATGTGCAGATGAGCCTAAAGATTCCATACGACAGGGCCTCTGTGAGCTTTATAAATTGTACGCTTAATCAAATTAAACTAAAATGATTAAATCAAGAAAGGTGATCGAAGGACATAGAATTTATAGACGATATGAGAGACGCCAGAAAGAATTTGGTCGGAAAATTTGAAGATGAAAGATGATTTGGGGAGAAAACGTTGGTATTATTATTATCCCATCTATTCATCACTTTGTAGGGTATGTACTTCAATGTACCCAAGACAGACCTTGTACCTAAGGTACATAGAGCAGCAGCTATTTCTGGAATACATATTGTTTTTAACACATGCTACATGTGTAGTTTTATTGTTAGAGATGACTACACATTTTACAATAGCTTCTTTCGAATGATGTATGATTATTATTATTATTATTATTATTATTTTAGAATAGATCTTAGATGTCAAGGTGACTCTGTTTCACCCGTTCTTACTGCGTCCATCATCAGGATGGTTAGTGATGGAGGCATCAGTGACCTCTGAACCGCCGGTAAACGTCTACCAGACTACACGTTATTACAACCTAGAACACAGCCATCTTCGGGCTACCCGCCGTGTAAACCTTAAATTCTGCTTAATCAGATGTGAGTTTGTTTACTGAATTCAAGTGCCTGAAGATGGTATCCAAATTTCGAGCTACTCTGAGTACGATGGTGAATCTTAGGGTTTCATAAGAGGCATGAGCCTCATTTAGTGTCTATTTGCTTTCCAATGAGCATTATATTTCATGGAGAGAGGAGATCACTTACCCTGTAGCCACCCAGATGCTGCACCATGCAACGAAATGTAGCATCCCTCCCCAAAGGGACCGTCAGATTAGCGATTGGCTCGGTGAACTCAGGCTGGTAAGCCACCCCTGCCGAAAGAAAGAATAAACACAAAATAATTCAATGCCAACACACCAACACCCGGTTAAAATTTCCTTAATGCGGTGAAAATTAGATATGTGAGTTGATCACCCACTTGATTCCCTTATAGAACAGAAACGGACAAGTGCTTTATAGTTCGGTGTCAGTTTGAAATTTTTCGAAACGTAATCTGGCAGAAAAGATCGCTAGAAAGGTCTTGCTGGGATCAGAGAGACATGTAATGCACACAAAATTTTGGTGGGGAAACGTGAAAGATATATAAGCAACTTATTAAGACATGAAAATTTCTGTCTACTGGGTTGTTGCGCTGTTGTATGGTAGATGTTTATCAACGTTTCAGAGGTCATCGCCCTGATGACGGAGGCAGTATGACCTCTGAAACGCTGGTAAACATCAACCAGACTACACAGCGCAACAACCCAGAAGACAGAAATCTTCATACTCAGCGCTGTGAAAACCTCAAATCATATTTATTAAGAAATTTTTTGGGAAGCAGATTTTTAGTATGAAGCTGTCTGAGGATGGTTTCAAATGCTTGACTCTGGTATTAGCGGTATTCAAACAGCAACTTTTGGTACCACGGAATTAGGTCAGTCAGATGAATAAGTGAAACACGGTTATCTGATGATGTAAAAGGTTCAGTCCAGTGTCACATTCAAAACTTTGTGTCAGACATCACACAGCTTTCAGAGAGACAGCTCAGCTAGAGATGAGCTAGCAGACTCTGGTCACAGCAACAAGGGACAACGGGACACTGATGTACGGATCATTTCCGCGTTATCAGAATACTCTCATGGGAAATTATTCATACGACAAAACAGTAGATGAAATACCCAGATACATATATTGAGAATGGATTAAAATTACATTTACAATTTAATTTCTTGCCTGTCTGTACTGATTTTCTCACTATCAATGTGTTTTATTTTGTTTGAGGTATATTATATAATAAGCCGGGATAGTTCAGTCGGTATAGTGACTAGCTACTCGCTGAGCTACTACATAATAAGAGGGGTAGAAAATTGACAGAATATGGTTCATCTGTATTACCTGATATCGTACACTTGTAGTACCACAGTCAACTACTGGACACGGTCTTGAGCCATGTTTAACCACCTCCCATAGTAAATTCTACTTCCGTCCGTATCCTCCTAACCTCTTCACGGTCTACAATTCGTCAAATGTGCCTCTGTTTCACAGTGTTTTATTTCTATAGATATTAAAGCCATTTTATCATGTACAGGTCTTACTCCTAAGCACGAAGTTATGGAACCAAATATCATGTCGTCAGACACACTTCGCTGAGAAACATATGAGCATCGTGGCGTAATGGTTAGCACTCTTTCGTAAGCGACATCTCGCGTGTTTAATTCTCGTCTCAGAAATCAGCTACACTGAATATGAGTCTTCGCCGTTTTCTTCAGTCCCCCATGCGAATATCGTAAAACATACCCTTTCAAATCTATCACTCTCATTCTCGGAGCCTGCGAAGCTGAAGAAATCGATAAATAACTAAAAAAGACTAAATCAAAAACTGTATCTTTGTGAATAAATTTTCAGTCATAGCAACAGAAATTTTATTCAAATTGTAGATCGTCAAAGATTTAATCTAAGAGCAGGCAGAGTCTTAGACCGGCCTATCCGTTCCTTTATGTTCTTGTCACAATCGCGCCTTCAGAATCACTCCCTTCTCTTATCTTCAGATTTGTTTCTGCTCTACGAACACCGACGCGATGTTCATATATCATACTTGAAAGGAAAGAATAATTTACCAGCAAACTGAAAAGTTGAAAATAATAAGTGGATAAAGACCAGAGTCTCAGACTGGGAAAGCCATCAATAAACAATGTTAGCGCTATAGAAGTACATGGCTAAGATTAAAGATGTTTGTTTTGAAGAGGAGATTATGCAGGAAGTCGCAAACCCGAAAACTCTACTTAGTTCCGTTCCAGGCGAAGTGGTTACTATATAGAAGAATGATGTGAAGACCAAAATAGTTGTTTCGACGAAGAGATCACAGAAACGAAGGCGATGGGTCCGAGTCCTGACGAAGACGGCTTCCGTAGTTACGAAACCTTTCACTAGATAAGATAGCGCCCAGGCAACATTTCTTCGATGCGGCGAGGGGGATTAAAGAAATTAACATCTCAGACACGAAAAATGGTTTGGTTTGACTTCCGATGAAGATGGTCTCAACAGTTCGAAAGCTAAGCAGAATTAAGTGTTTTGGCGAAGCCGAATTAAAATGTCATATTTTGCAAACATAAAATAAGTGAAGTTACAAGACACGAAGCCGGCACAGCGATGCTAACTCAGAAAATCACCACTGCACAAAAATCTCGCCATTTCGGAGATACCCAGTGCAGGAAATTTCAAAAGTGCGATTTTATGGTGGAACCCAGTGGCATAACTTCTATATCAGATTTAGTCCAAATGTGTCTCGAGTTGAATTATGCGGACAGACATATATGGTCAGCCCTATATCCGATTACTTCGTGCGCATTATGCAAAGAAACCGTCTACAATGCAGATGAGGTACTTCGCCTTTCTCAGCAGCGAACTGAATATCAGACTATGCACCATATCGTGTTGCAATAAAATCCCGTTGTCGCTGTAGTGACGCCACTTGGTGGACGCGTGCAGTTGCACAACAATGAGCGTCTCAACACGTGTGACGGCGCCAGCTTGCGGGATTATCACGAAATGGTTATGGCGACAATACCGCTCAAAGAAGAAGAAGAAGAAGAAAAAAAGAAATGGAAAGAAATGAAATAAAACATCCCACGCTACATATTTTTTTCTCATAAAATACGATACCATTTCTCTTCTAGTGTAAGAAATGGAGGAAAATATATGTGAACTATGGCCCTAAGGGATCTCTGCAGTGGCGTCAGGGTCTAGTGACCCTAAACTGGACCCAAAGAATTCCAAGGGAGCAGTTGGTATAGTCAGGTTTTAAGGTACAGGACAGGCAACTCTTAGACACGAATTTTACCGTCTCCTTTCAGTAGTTTTCTGATCTTTGTGCGTTAGTGCAGGAAATGACGACAGCTGAAAGGTTCAGGGAATAATTCATATTATCCATATTACAACTGATTTAAACTAATTATTGTATTGGGACATTTACATTAAAAGTATTATTCCTATTTAATTGTTATTACATTTATAAGACCAAATCGATGCTAAATATTAATCTGTGTTTTTAGAGACACGTGGTGGGAAATTTTGGCTCGTCGAAAAAGACTTGTTGCGGGCTTCTGCAAACAAGATAATAGACTTTATGTTTGAAAAAAAGACAGGAAATTTATTCATTTGCTTAGCTAGTCAGATTTCCAAATAAGTACTATGCTACACTGAGTTAATTAACAGACAAATCTCAAATCCTAGGGACCGTAACAAAGTTGTGGACTGGTATATATAAGTTCATGATCGGGTCTAATTGTTTTTACTGACAGTAAGAAAACATGAGGATGTATAGAACAGGTTAGTTCTTGATTACCACAGCGATTATCAGACTTTCAACTATGTTCTTAGACCACACAATTAATTAATTTATTGATATAGCCTATTTTTGCGTGGATGTTTTAAGTAATTTTTAAACTTCAGTGAGTATAGCAACCTCACAGTATATTCATAAATATTTGGAATAAATTTTAAAATGAATTATTTATTTCTAACAACGGACAATTTTTGAATAAATAATAATTCTATATATATTAAAATGTCACATCTATCTAAATAACATTTCTTCTCGCGAAAATATGGGAAGAATATTTAATGGCATTTCAAGACTCACAAATGTTCTTACTTTGAGAAGAAGAAAAAACATTGGTTCCTGTCTGGATACTACTTATATATAATAATGAACATTCAAGTATTTGAATGTAATAATATTATAAGAAATATAAAAGCCGGCGTCATACGTAATATAATGGTTGTAGTTGGTGGGATACTCTTCAACCGGATGTGCGTTTAAAAGGAGTGACAGTAAGAACCTGGAGGCTGTTATAGGTTCGGTGACTAGCCATAGACGGACTATATTCTATCCTCCGAGGAACCATTCCGGAAAACTGCCGTCATATCGCTACCGCATCATAGAACCCTACGGTTCTTATGGTACTCCCCCCTCCCCCTTCGAGAGACAAAAAAGCGAGTTCTTGATCTCAATGGGACACTTAGAGTTTATAAGGTTGAAGAAACAAGGGAAAATAAGAGGGACAGAAAGTGGTCTCCATCTTGGAGACGCTGAGAGATATTCAACTTTCATTATAAAGAAAACAATGTGTTTTTATTTTTTTTCCTTTATCGTAAAATATCTCTACAGTTGCATTTCGATTGGAAAGTCTTCAGTAGCAACTGTACCTTTACGTAAATGGAACCTTATCACCGATTATCTCCTCTAGAAATAAAATAATGAAGGTAAATAAAGTTATAATTAATTACAGAAGATGGTAATAATCTGTCAGAAACATAAACTATAAAATCAGAATATTATAAACAGGTGAATATAAAGTATATTTCATTTATATGCATCTCTAAAGATAAAATCCCAATTAAACAGAAAAATAAAACTAATTATATATAACCCTAATGTCTACGCATATGAAAGCCAATGTCGCATATTATTTAAAATAAAACCACTGATAAATAGAATTAGTGTCTTTACTGGAGACAAATATATTAGAGTATTCTATCAGTTGAAGTTATTGGATTACGTGAATCTTTGGGAACGAAATCTGTAGTAAGACTTCGGACGGGTAAAGTGAGCCACAGGCTCAGCAATAATACTACCCCTTAACAATGGGGTAACTCGGATCACAGGAGCATTATTGTTGTCCTATCTTACCGCACCCTTACAACACTACTGAAATTAAGAAGAAGAAACTCTACTTTTCCTTTGTTATCCTAAAATAAATTTGCATATACTCAATTTGAATCCCCCTTCCCCCCTCCAAACTTTTTTCTCCACACTTCTCCTCCTTCTTTG